GGAGGGGGGGAGACTGTGCGTGTGTGCATGTGCATGTGCATGCATGTGCGTGCATGTAGGAGGTGGAGCCCCTGGAAGGGAGGGGGCCTGACAGGTGCGTGGGGGCAGGCAGGTAGGTGTCAGGGACCGGCGAGCCGGGAGAGGAGCTGGGAGCAAGGTCGGCCACGCGGGGGAGGAAGGGACGCCGCATCCTCCAGCGCAGAACAGGTCTGGGCCCCCGCGTGGAGTCGGGAGCCGGCCTCCGCCCGCCCGAGGAACCGGGCACGGGCTCTGCAGGAGCCTTCGTTGCAGCCTGGCCTGGCACGGGGGCCTGTTTGCACGCGCAGGGCTCCCGCCGGCCCCCGCCTGCTCCTTCCAGCCTGGGCCCACGGGGCAGCCGGTCTCTCCGGCCAGCCCCGGTGCCCGAACCTCTCTGCGGAGACGGGCAGGAGTCGAACCATCCCACACAAGGGACCCGTCCCGTTCCCGTCCCCGTCCCCGTCCCCGTCCCCTCCCACGGCACAGACACAGGAGGAGGCCAAATTCCAAAGTCCTTATTCAAGCAAAGCCCGTTCGAAGGGAGAGGGCTGCCCTTCCTCCTGGGGGAGGGGAGCCGCGGGCCGGCAGTCCCGGGGTGGCTCCGCGGGGAGGCCCCAGCGCAGCCGGCGTGATAAAGTCCAGCTCCTTCCTTGGCGCAGGGGAGCGCTGCCCCTCCACCTGCCAGCTGCCGCGGGGGGGCCTGCCCGGCGGTACCCAGCCCCGTTCATGCGTGAGCAGGGCGCGCGGCACACGGGGCTCCCGGTTGCCTGGATAGGAGCCTTTGGCACCGTGAGGCGGCCGGCGCCTCATCCCCTTGAGGGGCAGGGGACGGGCCGCCCCATCCTCGGGGCGCCGGGGCTCAAGGGTCACGGGCCCGAGGTGACGCGTCCTCCTGTGTTGCAGACGACTCGTCGTCGGAGAGCTGCAGCGGGAACGGCTCCTCCACCCTGAACCCCTCCACCTCCAGCAGCACACAGGGGGACAGCGCCTTCCCCGAGATGAACGGCAATGGCACGGCCGCCCCCATGGACTTCGCCGCCTCGGCCGAGGACCAGCCCATCAACCTGTGCGACAAGCTCGCGCCCGCCCACGTCACTCCTTCCTACCCGTCGGACGGCTGCAGCGCGGACGGGCTGCGGAGCCGGGTGAAGTACGCGGCGAAGACGACGGCAGAGGTGCGTCCGGCGGCGAGGCAGGCCGCGCGGAGCCGGGCGCACGGCGCGCACCTGCTCGGGGCACAGGGCAGGGAGGGGCGGCGGGGGAGGGAAGCACAGCCGGGGGGGCAGAGCTGGATGCATTCCCTTCTAGGGAGGGAAGGGGAACGCAGCGCGGCCCAACTCGGCCATTTCCCAGGAGCTGCTGGAGAGCAGCTGCCTCTGGCCCCGCTCCCGCTCCGGGGCCCGGAGCTGCGTCTGGCCCCGCTCCAGCTCCGGGGCCGGCACCGCAGCCAAGAAGAAGGCCCCGAGGAGGACGGTTCGGTTAGCAGAGGTCAGGGAAAGCAAGGGCCGTCGAGCCGGCGTCGAGCCCCCGGCCCAGAGCCCCTCGTTAGCGACGGGAGCGCCCCTCCCCGTCTCGGGAAGCAGCCCCCCTCGGGCAGCCCGTGTGCAAGTCGTTCCCCCGCCCTCCGCCCGCCCAGCGAAACCCGCGGGCAGCGTGAGCGACGAGCCCTTTGTGAGGTCTCGGCAGAGCCGGGCTCCGCGGCGGGCTCCCGCTCTGCGCCGCACAGCCATAAATCCGGGGTCAGCTGTCGACCCTGCCGCAGCAGGCGCCGCGGAGAAACCAGCTCCCAGATAACTTATGTCCCCGTCTCGCGCGAGGAGGGGCAAGCCGCGGCCCCCTGCCCCGACCGATGAGGCTGGGCCAGCAGATGCGCTTGGCTTCTTCCCAGGAACCGACTCCCAACCCCGAGCCCTGTCGCAGCGAGCGTCTCCCGGGCAGGAGAGCGCCGAGCCCCACGGCACACGGGGTAGGGCCCACGGCCGCAAGGCGCCGCGGGCACGGCCCGGTCTGTGGGCTGTGAGGACGGGCTCAGGCTGGTGCTGGTGCTGGTGCATCTCCCGCCTGGGTTTAGCACCTCGGGAAGGGGCTTCCTCATAGAGCATCTGCTTAAGAGGCTCCCTGGCTTCTCTCGCTCGGCCGCCGGACCGAGCCCCCTGCCCACGGGAGTTAGGCACCCTCGTGGCTTAAACCCGGTTGAAAACAGGACGTCCCCCCCGCCTGAGGCTGCTGCTGGCATCTCCAGGTTTGCACGCGCAGCACGAGGCCAGCGCTGGCGGGGACCCAAACCCGGCGTCTCCGCCGCTGTCACCATCCAGCGCTTGCACCTCTTGCGCGTTCCCTCTCCTGGCTGGTCCGCGCTGCAGAGCTGGGGGCAGCTGCATCCTTTCCCTGGGCAGGGAGCGTGACGTCCAGCCGGGCAGGGGACGGGCCCGGGGCACTCATGGTTTTGACACGCCCTCTCCTCTCTCAGTCTCCCCCCTACAGCTCCGGCAGCTATGACTCCATCAAGACCGAGGTCAGCGGCTGCCCCGAAGACCTGACCGTCGGCCGAGCGCCAACAGCCGACGACGACGACGACGACCACGATGACCACGAGGACAATGACAAAATCAATGACTCCGAGGGGATGGATCCCGAGCGGCTGAAGGCCTTCAACGTAAGGGCACCGGGCCGGGCCGGGCCGGGCGGGGCCGGGCCTTCCCGGAGCTGCACCGCGGCCCGCTCACCGGGCACGTTGTCCGCTCTCTTTGCAGATGTTTGTGCGTCTCTTTGTGGACGAGAATCTGGACCGGATGGTTCCCATCTCCAAGCAGCCCAAGGAGAAGATCCAGGCCATCATCGAGTCCTGCAGCCGGCAGTTCCCCGAGTTCCAGGAGCGGGCTCGCAAGCGCATTCGCACTTACCTCAAGTCCTGCCGCCGCATGAAGAAGAACGGCATGGAGATGGTGAGCCTCCCCTCGCCCTGCCCAGGACAAAACATTTTATCCCGGGACAAAGTGCAGTTGTTCGGACATCCACGTCCGTTGCCCCGGGATAAATCCTAGAAAGATTCACAGGGTGAGAAGTCCTAACAGTTCAGCCCGACACCGCGAAGCGCATCTGAACAGTTATCCTGGGACAAAGCCAGGGCTGTTCCTACCACAGAGATGCAGGACCTGGAGGGGAGCACCAGGCTGAAGCCTCTGGTGCCTCGCTTTTCAAATATTAGCTTGTCATTTAGGACACGGAGGTTTCTGTGCCCACGACGCAGCCCGGGGAGCCCAGGGGCGGCGAGACCACTCGCTCCCTCCACATCTCCCAAAACACAGGCTCTCTGGTTTTCTCCCCGTGCAGACCAGGCCCACCCCACCCCACCTGACCTCAGCCATGGCAGAAAACATCCTGGCAGCCGCCTGCGAGAGCGAAACACGGAAAGCAGCCAAGAGAATGCGGCTGGAGATCTACCAGACATCCCAGGTAGGATCTCGGTAGCCCTCCCTCCGCGCGCCGGGTGCGCTCTCACCAGCCTTTTCCCCAGCCACGGCAGGGGACTCGCTCCAAGGCCCAGCCCGGGTCAGCAGAGCTCTTGCAGGGCGACTTGCTCCGAGGCGCTGGGGCGAGGGGGAGGAAGCAGCAGCCGCTCGCAGGGCCGTGCGTGCAGGGCATGCATTGGGAAGGGCTGAGCAAGCAGGGCGAAGGTTTGGGGGCGCGCCGGGAGGGAGTTAGGGCGTTCCCGGCACTGGGAGGGAGCGGCAGCCCTTGCAGGGGCAAGTTGCGCACGTTCCCAGGGGAAGGAGGACGGCGGGAGCGTCATGCGCATCGCAGGGAGGAGTCCAGGTGGTCCGAGTGTCCGGGAGGCGCTTGCCCACCAAAGGCCTCGCAGCCAACGGGGATGCACGAAGGTCGACACTGCCTTTGCCGCCCCTTGCGCCGCGAGGCCCTTCCTGGCACTCACTAGCGCGTTTCCCTTGCCGCAGGACGAGCCCATCGCTCTGGACAAGCAGCACTCCCGCGACTCCACGGCCATCACCCACTCCTCCTACTCACTGCCAGCTTCGTCTTACTCCCAGGACCCGGTCTACATCAACGGGAGCCTGAACTACAGCTACCGTGGCTACGGGACCCTCGGGGGCAGCCTCCAGCCACCCACTTCGCTCCAAACAGGGAACCACAGTAACGGTAAGCGCGACGTGGCCGGGAAGCAGGCGGCAGGGCCAAGCGCTGCCCGGTCTCCTCCAGCATCGCATCTCCCCTCTGTCCGTCCAAACGGGGTCCCCGCCCAGGGCCCACCTCTTCTGCCCCAGCAGCCGCGAAGGCTCCTGGAAAGCAAGGGCAGGACCGTGGCAGGGGACCGTCTTTACCTTGAGAAGAGAGAACATGGACCAGGCATTCATGATTAACAGAGGCCACCCTGATCCGCGGGCTGCTTGGAGGGGGTCCCTTCCCCCCACCTCCCTCCCTCCGCCCTAAGGAGGGCTGCGTCTGCCTGCGGGCTGGGAAAGCAGCCGAGCAGGGAGAGAAAACCGCCCCTGTCCTGGCGGCGAGGGAGCAGGGGGCTGGAGGGAGGAGGAGGTTGGGGGCACGGTCAGGCCGACTTCGTAGACATCAGGGCTGGAAGGGACCTTGCAAGATCCTCGGGTCCAGCCCCCCGCCCGAGGGGCAGGAGTCAGCTGGGGTCAGATGATGCCGGCAGCATCGGCATCCAAGTGGCAGCAAACCATCCACGCCAAAAAGAGCGGGGACAGGCCGGAGCAGCAGGGGTCAGGCAGGGCCACAGCCTGGGGGAAGCTGGGAGGCAGGAGGGCGCATCCCCGCGGAGGGGTGGGCTCCAGGCCCCTGTGGGGCCACATGCCACGAGGCCTCTCCCAGCCCCGCTCCGCGCCTCGGCCTCCTTCCTCTTCCTCTGCCCTTGCCCCGGCTCCGCCCCAGCCGGCGGGCGCAAGGATTTGAACGGATGTGATTTCCGGAGTCCTGAGAGATGCCTGTCTGGGATTAACTGTTATCATCCCTCACTAATGCCTCTTAACCCGGAACGAAGATCCTGCCCCAGGCCCCAGCTGCCGAGACCTAATCCTTGCAGCTAGAACCGGGGGGCCCACACTTCCCGTCCAGGCTCTGGGGCTCGGGGCCCTTCTCCTCCGGGTGCTGCTCCGCCGACAGCCGGCCCCGGCACGCAGCACGCTCGCTCCCGTCTTGTCCATGTTTAGAGCTCGTCTCCCAGCCCTCTTCCCCTGCCCCTGCCCGGGCTCCTGCCAGCCAGCTCCTTTAAAGGCAAGAGAGCGCACTCCTGCCACATCCTCTCCATCTCCCCTCCCCTCCCCACCTTCGACGGCGTCCCACTCCCCTGCTAGGACGAAGCCAGCACGGATCTGGCCCCTCTTATGCCCCCAGCCCCCATCTCCCTGCAGCCCCTCTGCACCGGAGCTGCCGTTCCCCGGCCAGCGCGATTCCAGCTCAGCCACTTCCCCATTTTCCTCCTCCGGTTTGCACCACGGCTCCGGTCGCCTGCCTGCTGCCTTCTCCTCTCTGCTGCCGCTGTCCTTGCTTCACTCAGCCCTCCCCTTCCACGCTCCTGGACGCACGCCCATGTCCTCTGCTCGGGCTCCCAGGCCTGTCCTGTGCCATTTCAGCAGTGCCTCCGCTCCCCCACACACTCCCCTGCCCCCGATGGTGGGTCTGTGCTCCCCTGCTCTTACCTGCTGGGAGCCCCCCGGGCTCGTGCGCACAGCCAGCTCGGCATCCAACCCTGCCCCGGCTCGGCCGTCTCAGCGCGGGCTGGCACCGCTTCGGCCTAAACGGAGCAAAAGCCTCTGCTTCTCTCATCCCTCCGGGGCCACCTCCGCTCTTTAGCCCACGACCCGGGTGAGCTCCCAGTCTCCCTTTCCTGCTCTCGCCCCCCAAATTGGGCGGTGTCCATTCCTGCCCATCCCTGCCCTCCCATTGCTGATACCCGCCTGGGTCCAAACCTGGTGCACGTTGCAGGGGGGTCACCTTTCCTGCCCCCCTGTGCTCTTCACTCAGCCCAGCAGCAGCTCCGAGCCATTCCTCCTCCTCCCAGGCCTAATCACCAGCTCTCCTGCCGGGCGCCTCATTGCCTGCGTCTCCCCCTCCCGAGCACGCTGCGCTGCTCCGTTTCCCCCATGCACCGTCCAGGTTGCGGCTGCCCCTGCGCAGCGCGGACGCCGTCCCTCCCTTCCCTGCAGCGCGGGGCCCTGACGCGAAAGCAGATGGAAGATGGGCGGGTGCTTAGGGACGGTGGCGGGGCCAGACCCCTGCTCCTAGCTACTCCTGCACGTCAGCAAGTGCAGGCTGGGGGCTCGCTCAACCCCTCGGGGGAAGGGGGTTCATTGAGGACGGGCAGAAGACGCCGTTGGTTTGGGTCTGATGGAGCATCTGCGTGGGAGCCCTTTTGCCCAGTGCACCCGAGCACCAAGGGACTGCGGCTGACCCTGTGCCAGAACTGACCCCGGGCAGCCGCGGCCGGTCACCTCGAGAGACGAGCCAAAAAGCAGCCTCCTGCGTCCTCGGGTTGCAGCGCGCTGCGAGCGGCTCCGAACCGCAGGAGGCACGACCGCCCCAGGGCCCGGCGTGCGTCTCCCTGCCGGTGGGGCTAGCCCAGCCGAGCTCCCCACTGCGATTCAGCGGGACGGGCTCTCGCACCCACGCAGCAGGTGTTTCTCTCCCTGCCACCCATGGAGAAACAGCTCTGCCTGAGCCTCGTGCCTCTCTTGCAGGCGGGGGGGGGGGTGGGGACAGCAAGCACGCGTCTGACGGCTGACGTTTCACGTGTGCCCATCACGCATGCACGGTGCAGCAGCAAAATCGGAGCCGCGCGTCTCCTCCTCGGGCCCGCCGTGCCCTTTGGGGCAGCCGCCGGCCCTGTTCCACTCCTGACGCCCTCCCTTGCTCTCCCTTTGCAGGTCCCACTGATCTCAGCATGAAAGGGGGGGCATCCAGTACCGCCCCGTCCAACAGCACCAGCAGGGGGATGCAGGCCGCCCAGCTCAGCCCCACGGAGATCAGCGCGGTGCGGCAGGGCATCCCCCGCTAGCCAGAGGTCCTTGCCCTGGTGCGGCGGCGGACCGCCGCCTACCGAGAGTCCGCGGCTTTTCTCCTCCGGTCGGCAGATGAACTGGAAAACCTCATTTTACAGCAGAACTGACTCCGGGCGTCCGCGTAGCTCCTCTGTCAGAAGACAATTGACATCCTCTAGAAAGAGGCTCCCGCTCGTGTCCTGCTCAGGACCGACCATCGTCCTCCCACCATGCGGGTGGTACATTTCCTTTGAGAGGTGGGATCCGAGAGACCCGTTTTCTTTCACACTCCGAGCACCTGGGACTTTGGGCACAAAGACGCATTTTCGAACCATACTGCACAGACCAAAAGCCAAACGTGCGACTTGGACGGGTGCGGGACTTTCTAGGGTGGAAGGGAGCCTGGGGAGGTTGGGGCTGCAGCTGTATTTAGGAGACCCTTTGTGGACCCCACTGTTAGAGTTCCACCCCCAGATAATTACCTTTCCAGTCTTAGGTGAGCTGAATCGCATATTTATTGAGAAATGGACCCTCCTCTCCCCTTAGTAATTTATTTTTCTGAAAATGGATTCGTTTAAGTTTGTACAGGTTGCCAGTTGTGTGTCCGTCTGATGAGAAGGCATTTACTCCTGTGAAATAACACATTCCATGTCACTACACTACTAACGGCTGGGCAGCGACGCCGCTCCTCCTGGAAACCCGGGTCCCGCAGGGCGGTCGTCCGCGAGCCCGGCAGCCTCCGGGCTGCTCGGCCTCCCATAAGCTTAGGTGGAAGCTGAAGAAGGAAGAAAGGAGCGCCCTGTTTAGACCTGATCTCTAAGCAGTCCTGTAGCAGCAGCAGTGGGATCTGATATTTCCTGCAGAGACCCAGCAAGCTCAGTAGACCTCCGACCAGAAGGACCTCTCTCTCTCTTTCACTCGTTTAAAATTGAAAATTAAAAAAAAAAAAGAGAAAACAAGGAGACATCTGAGAAACACTGTCCTGCGTTCATGATCTGTTTTCTACCTCACACTCCATTGTGGGCTTTTTCCAGGACTCCCCGATCTGGCTCTTAACGGTTCACCCCCGAACGCGTGCATGATGCATAGCCTGACTGCTCGGCAGAGACGCGGAGGCCGTGGAGGAGCGCGACACTAAGCCAGCAGCTCGACACCTCGCCTGGCCTGATGCCCTCTCTGCTCCGAGAAAGGAAGGTGCGCTGCTGCTGCTGCACGATCAAAAACCATCCAATCGCTCCTTGAAACCCAGGCTGTTTTCACACGTGCATGTGAAGCCAGTGCTGGGGCAGCAGCGACAGAGCTGCTTAGGATAGGCACCTGGGACTAACAAGAGGTAGGGCAGGCGCTTGGGGAGGCAAGGCATGCCGCTCCAGCCCCACGAGCCGTTCCCAAGGAAGCAGAGGCCAGGAGACGCTCAGCAGCAGTGCCAGGGGCTCCCTGCAGGCCCTGGAGCCCCCCAGGAACAGTCCTGGAATAAGCCCACAATTCCTAAAGTGTGAAAAAGAGATAGGCCTGATTACCACTGCTCAGCCCCTTCCCTCCCCCCACACCAAGGCACTTCCCTTTGCTCAGTGCAATACCTATCACCAGTGCTGCTAAACCAGGGACTATGCTCGGGCATCGATGCCGAGCAGGGCCAAGCAATGCAACGTGGTCTGTAGCCATAAAAAGCAGCAGCAACTGCTGCCGGAGAACCCATGAGACTTCTCCTCGCCTCCTCCCTTCCCAGTGCTGGCGGAAACCCAGGCCTGCTCTCCTCTGGAGGGCAGGAGCCAGGAGAAGCAGCCCTCGATGAGTGCCGCGGCGGCGGCGAGCGTTTGGAGTGCAGGTGGTTTCCTTCTCCAACTCCTTTTAGACCAACTTGTCACGAGCCTGTCTTGGTGCGGATGGTTTCTGCGGGGGTCAGGCCTGCACTGCAGAAATCAGCCGTGCTAACCCAGGGGTTTCAACCGCTGCAGGTGGCAGAGGCCGAACTTCCATCGTATTTTTGGAAAGCTTTTTCTTAACCAAATCCCACCCCATAAAACAGAGGGGACAAGCAGTGCTGGCTGAGGAACAAAGCCCTGCTCTTCGCTTTAGGAGAGCCAAGGCCTCAGGCTCTCTAGACAAGAACCTGCCCAAGCTCAGCACTGGAAGGGATTTCCTATTGCATTGACCTTTTCCCCCCAAACCTGGAAACTTTTCCCAGCTGCTGGAGAAAGGGGACTCAGCTCCTGACCGTGGCCTACAGTCAGAGTCCCCCCAGGGAGAAGGTGGGGGGGTTGCCGCGGATCAGACTTGGCGCCCCTCATTCCAACACAAGCCAAAAGGGGCAAGTGTGTGGGCACGTCCCGACCAGGCCAAGTTACGGGGAGGGCAGGCCAGTACCAAGGTCGAGGCAGCCGAGTAAAGAACCACCATGCACATCCAGACCTTCGGACAGACACTTTCCCAGCACTTCGCAAGCCTGCTTGGTTTGTCCACCCCCCGCCCCCCCCATACTTTGAATTTATGTAAATATTTATTTTTGTGTGAATACCATGAAGTAACAAACCCTTTACGAAATGTAACCACAGCCATTTGTGAAAGTCTTAATGTTAAAGAAAGAGAGGCAGAGACAATCGCTGTCCCAGAATTCTCTCTATAGATAACTTAATTGTTGCCTCTGCTCCTTAAGAGGCCATCGTGAACATGTAGCCATAAGTTTGCCAGCCAATTAACTAAGAAAGGGGTTGCCCAGGGGCTTATTGCAAAGAGATCAACGGCAGCGAGAGTTCGATTCGAGCTGTATTTATACCGGTTCTAGCTGTCTTTACCAGATCACCTTGGAACTTGGCTTAGCGCATGTGTTAAAAGTTCAGTAGCTCTTAAATCGTTTCAAACACTGGCTGAACAGAGCTGAGACTCTGGCTCGCGTAGGAAAAACAATGGACAACCCACCCGGCGACACCGACTGATGTTCATAGCTTGCAGCTGGAGGGTACACGCGCAGATGTCTGAAGCCCTGGTGACAGCAGCATCTGTGACAAGTGAAACAAATGGGATCCACTACATATTTCTGTCAGGGAACTTTTTTTTTTGGTTGTTTTTTTGGGTAAGCTGCAGCTGTAGTTTCTTTGGAGCTAGCTCCACAGGACATCTCAGTGCTCTTTAACTGGTCCTTACTCGATATCGGCCCTTCTGTGTGCAAAACCTGTCGTTTCACAGCCACGATCCTCAGTTCTCCCTAGATACTACAGGACTAGGAATCTCCGAGTTAGATTCTCAGGCAGAAGCAATGAGCAGGAGCAGAACACACTGGCTTTCCAGACTTCGTGACGGCTGAAAGGAGAGCCCTAGTTTAGCGGATGGTCTGGGGGACAAAAAAAAAAAAAAAAAAAAAAAATCTCAGTGATCAAGAAAACACACGATTTTTGTTTCCTTGGGGATCCTCCTCACGGGCACGCGTGGGCTGTCCAGTGCCCAACGCCGCGTTTCAGCAGGCGGAGGAAGAAGTGTTCACGGGATGCCAAGCAGATGCGACTTGTACCTCCCTCCCCAGTGCAGAGGGCTGCTCCCCTCCGGCGGGCGGCTGTAGGATTTAGTACCAGTTCATTTACAAAAATGCTGCTTTGAACTCAGAGGGTTAAATAATATACTTTTGATTTGTAATTTTTTGTAAAACTTTTTACAAGGTAGCATAGTATTTCACCAGAATACCAACTACAATCCGTCCATGGTCTGATTTTTATATAATTTAGTGGTGCTTTAGAAAACTTTTGTTTGGTTGTTTCAGAGCCGTACAGCTCAGTTCTTCGCCTGTATCTACCTAAGACCAATGTGAACCTTTGTATTTTTGCTCCTAATTTTGGACTCAGTGAAAGTGTACTGTTTACATGTACAGAACTCCCAGCCCCTGTGTGTTCTGCAAGACCTGCTGTTGAAGAGGAAGATGCACCTCACCCAGTTCATCTGCCTAAGAAAGCCACAGACTCACTTTCTCTCTCACGGAAATGTTTCACCGTCTTAAAAGACAAAACCCCCCCCCCCCATCCCTCCCCCCGCCCAATGCTGAGATGTGCTGTAACAGATTTGTTCTTTGCACAATCTAGTCTATCTTGAGTGGTCAACTTAAGAAATAGCTTTGGTCTAAAAACCTGAGACCTGATACGACAGAATTCACTGAAAAACCGACAGCCAGGACCCCGCATGGAAACAGAACCGTATGAGGGTGCTGTTTCACCAGCCTCCTTCCCTGGTACCCAAGGCACGAAGGAAAAGCTGCTCAGCTGGACTTGAATCCAAGCTGAATAGAGCAGCAATCACAACAGCTGGGGAAGGGGGAAGAACCTGCTTTTTCCTTCAGCACAACTGGAGACGCGCGTCCCCGCACGCCTGGTCAAGTCATCCCCAATGCTGATTTCAGAATAAAACGGTAGGAGAGGAGTCCCTCGGGAGACACGGGGGTCCCCGAATGAAGTCGAAGACGCCCCATTTGGAAAGCCAGTACTTTCCAGGGGGCTCGAGTAGCAAACATGGCACTTAAACCACCAGGGGAAGAGAATCCAACTTCTAAGGTGACACTTTATTGCGTAATCAATTGATTCCTTTCTAAATGATATTTTTGCAGCTAGGCACCTATGCAACTCAATGTGGCTCTTTTAAGCAGATGAGCACTTCCTCCTCAATGAGCTCTATACAAATGATTTGTGTTATATACTGTGGATTTTTCCAGTAAATGTGGCTTAATATTTTAATTCTTAGAACGTGTGTCTATTATATATGTGATGCAACTTAATTCTGTTCTGTTTGTGGAATGATTAGCACAGGCCAACTCCCTGTTCCCCTCACTTAACAAAGACCAATGAGCTGTTAATCAAGCTGTTATCTCCATGGTATTACTTGCTAAATGCACTGATTTCATAAGTATGTGGAATCCTTTTTTCTTTTGAATCTGTATATCATATATAAGACTGAATCTACTTAATAAACACTGTATAACAAACAGGCCTCCTACATCCGCTGTCGAGCAGACCTGGGGTGGCTTTCATCTCCCTGTTACGGC